AACTCGGAAATCACGGAAAGATATTCACCCTTCAAGGTTTCGAATTCAGCTTTCATGCGCTGGTGCCTGAAATTTTTAACTATTTTCCAATGTTTGAACTACTTTTGCATAGACTGAAGTACAAAGCACTGAGAATCATTAACGTGCAATCATTCGATGGGCTGAATTGCACAGAACGCATGATCGCACCGGCTAATCTGGTGTGCGTTGCTATTTATTATTCCTTCATACGTTTCTCAATATATTTTCCCCTATTTTGCGTTTTTTGCTCCACTTTTCTAAATTATACCTTCTGTTTTTTGCTGCCAAAAACATCGCTTAGAAATTTGACAAATATGTTGCTGAAAATAATTTGAAGTCACAGTTGTCCTACTGTGGTGCCCAACAGAAATATATAATAACTTGAAAGACTGAAACATTCCTTTCTGGCTGTTCAATTTCAATTTTTGGATTTTACAATAACAAATACCTTTGAATCGTTGCATCATCATCACGATTTTATGGCTTATTCGTAATTTTAACCTTGCTTTTCGACTATCACAGTTTCTTCCCACTTATGCGGCTGAAAAACTTTTTTCTCGTTTTTAGTCCTTTGGGTTGAGTGTAACTTTCTGCTTTTCTGAGTCAAAAATGTACTGAAATCAGCGAACAGAACATAGTACAATTTGAAGGCACATTTCGAAATATTTAGCTTATATTTTATTTTTTTTTTTTTTTTTAAATTAAACCTCTAAAATTTCAAGGTCTCACTTTTGCTCATTCTTCAATTATTAAAATATCTTGGGTTTTGGCCGGAAATCATAGATCAGACGGTACTGAGGAATGTGAGTTGATTTCATTCTCTTCGTTTTGTTTCTGAGGTATGATTAATTTTCCAAAATTCTTACTTTTCGTGCTTCTTAATTTAATCTTAGTTTTCAAGATTTTTAAGAATAGATAAACCGACACTCCTTATCTTCTCTGCCGTTCCATCTCCTTCCCACATGTGCACCGGTGATGCAAAAACAAGCAACAAAAGCATGTATATGTCGGATTTTTTCCAGAGAATCACCCAAATGGTCATCGTTAATGCAGTAGGTAGAAATTTGCATCAAACCTTCAGAGTAAATGAGTATGTATTTAGAACGCTGGGAATAAGTTTGAATTTTTTTTCTATAAATGCTCATTGTACACAGATTGGCATGAGCGGTCGCGATTTGTTCACTTATAATCCGGACTTGGTTGGTCAGGACGAGGAGGATATGGAAGGAGGGGTCGCGTTTGAACGGGATGCGAACGATGAAGATGAGGACAGTGAGGTTTGTTGTGTCAGTACTGCTTTCTGCGGTTCTGCATA